AATGGCGTGGTGAGGAAGGGGGTGAGGTGTTTAGAGGTAAGGTGAAATGGCGTGGTGAGGAAGGGGGTGAGGTGTTTAGAGGTAAGGTGAAATGGTGTGGTGGGGAAGGGGGTGAGGTGATTAGAGGTAAGGTGAAATGGTGTGGTGAGGAAGGGGGTGAGGTGATTAGAGGTAAGGTGAAATGGTGTGGTGAGGAAGGGGGTGAGGTGATTAGAGGTGAGGTGATTAGAGGTAATGTAAAATGGCATGGTGAGGAAGGGGGTGAGGTGATTAGAGGTGAGGAGGGGAAGGGTGAGGTGGCTAGAGGTGAGGTGAAGTGGGGTGGTGAGGAAGGGGGTGAGGTGAGGAAGAGGGGGGATTGGAGGTGAGGTGGTGTGGGGTGGGGTGATGAAGAAGAGGGTGAGGTGGGGTCACATATCAAAATTAAATATCAAAATACTCTGATTGTAAAATACCTTTCGTCAGTGTTGGTCATCAGCAAACAATGCTTTAGATATACAGAAGTGAAGGAAAGAACATCCACTAGTAATTGTAGACTCCATGTTTGCTAAAGAAAAACAAACACAACAATGATGATTACGATGGATCACTTACTGTAATACACCTTCATACATAAATACAAATATAAAATAGTTTATTACCTGTATCAAATTAGTGCTTTTCACCATCTGACTAACAAGTTCAAGACATTTAAAGGGCATTCCAAGAGAAATACAAAGCCCTGACTTCTCTCTTGTAGAGCTGGAAAAATAAAATACAGTATGAACAAATAATAATATGGCATATGTTGCTTGTGGACCTCCAAAAGTTTACAAACTTTTAAGTTATTTTATCAAGTTTTTGCTGATAATGCAAAGATTGCAGAAACACAGAAACTACATATTATTCAATACATTGAGATCAGAGAGAGTCTGATCTAAGTTAACATTCATAAGGTCATTTGAACACTTTCTGCCATTCTGTTGAATGAACTTAATTCAGGAGATTTTGCTGTACAAGACTTATAGGTTAGATTACATTACAAGATGTGCATGCACTAAGTAAGGATTGATGGACAAGATGTAAGGATTGATGGACAAGATGGAAGGATTGATGGACAAGATGTAAGGGTTGATGGACAAGATGTAAAGGATTTTTATGATGTAGCAAATTTATTGCATGGTCAAATGGAAATACATGTATTATTTGTTGAAATAGCCATTAACCTAAGATATCTGTTCTTAAAATTAACGCTTTAAGTGTCTCACCATTTTGCTAAAACAATGTTTCTCAAGACTCTGAGCACCTGTCTTAGTTTAGATGCACCCTCAAGCACTCCTTCCCTGACCAAACAGCAAGCACTTTCCAATGCTGTGTGAGTGCGGCTGATGAAATCCCTGTCAGTTATGAGATTTTTGACCATAGCATCCTTTTCTTGGACTGCTGTGGCTGACAGTGAATCCTCTTGTGGTTCTGTTATTTCAACAATACAAGCCCATTCTTCATCACTGTCCAGGTCCTACAAATTATCATAAAGAACTGTGAATCAAGAATTAATTCAAATTGCAATCAAAACAAATTTTAACGATTTTTTGCTGCTTAATATTTATGAGCAAAGAAGTAGGAAGCTTTCAACCTAGTAATGGCTGGCTGGTCAACAAATTACCATCCAACTAGTAACTAACAACAACCTACCAGCTGAGCAGTGAACACAGCGTACAAAGCATGAAATCAATGGACAAAATGACCAGCTCCAAGCATTATTTTTTGGAGCTTGAAAAAATGAAGCAAACATGGCAGTAAAGGTAAAATACAGTCATGTAGAGTGGCTGACGAGGTACAAGAGGCAAATCATTATAATGGGCCTCAAAGTTCTGATTGTTTGTTGTTGAAATTTTTCAAGAATTAGATTAAAACTTACATCAATGTCGTTTCCAGTGGTTCCAGATGTTTTCCCCTGTTTTTCTCTTCTCCTAGCTGCCGCAGCCAAAACACAGTTTATGACAGACATTTCCCTCTCATAATCATCACTTATTTCATGTCCTTTCCTAGTAGTTTTAGCCCAAGGGTTTTTGCCTCCTTTTGCTTCATCCTCAACCTCCCAGTCATCTGAAAAATATTTTGGAAATTAATTAAGAATAACTGCATTTGAAATCAAGAAAAACAACAGTGAAAGCATTATTACCATCTTGTTGGGTATCTTTTTGCTGTTCACTGTCTGGTTTAATTTCTGGTTTAATTTCTGGCTTGTTTTCAGTCTTATTTTCTTTGCTGTTTTGTTTCTTTAATACTGTCTTTTCTTCCTTGCTAGTTTTCCTTTTCAAAAGGCCAGTACCAACAGTTGTTTGTTGTTTTTTCTGTGAGTTTTTCCTTGGTTTTTCCTTGTTGTTTTCTGYTGTAGCATTATTCTCTTTCCCCTTGGATGGTTTCTGCTTTGACCCTTCTTGTTGTTGTTGGAGCTTTTTGATCCACGATGGCTTGATTTCTTTGTCATTCTTTTCTTTCTGTATAAACACAAACATTAAAATAATTACATATCATACAGTATCACTGGGGCAGTACATGGAAATCTTGGGGATGAATCGTCCTTGTTTTATGAGAGTAGCACTTAATAGCCAGAGGCTAAAAAACTTCACTTGGGCAAAAATGGGGGCATACAAACCTGGGAGAAAACCTGATGTGAAGTTTCATAAGTATTTCACAATAGTTCTCAGACATATATTCTAGCTGATATTTAAACACAATGGAATGCATGTAAGACCACTTTCTCAAAAAAACAAACACCCTACAATTTTGCTGAAGCCCCCCCCCCTCTCATGCGCTAATAAATAAAAGACCCCTAAGTGCTGGTCATCGGACAAATGTCCAGTACAAATGACCACTTGACTGGTAAATGATTCTCTTGGCTGGACATTTGTCTGGCCACACAGCTTTAGACAGTTCACATATGCATCTAGGGCTTGACAAATGACCTGCTTATCACAAATCATGACATTTGCAGCCTTAGAGATAAAATATGCCTTCAAATGATAACCAAATAACTTGATGGTCTTGACCTCTTTCACGATTTACCTGTTTGTCAGGGGTAGCTACTTTTTTGCTCTCTTGTTTGGAACTATTATACTGTGTTCTTTCAAACTGTGAGGGTGGAATACCATTAACCTCTAGCTCTGCCTCTGAAAATAGAAATCCATTAGTTAAAAAAAACTTAATTCATAATAAATTCTCCATGAAGGTAAAACAAATAGCCAATATTGTGGCTTTGAAATGTTGATGAGAGTGAAATTCCTTTCATTTGTTTTTCAAACTTCAGTTTAAAATGGGCCTTCCTTTTCTGTCAGTTGTGTGACAAATCAGTACAATATTCATTCATCTGATTGCTGGGTATTTAGTAATTAAATAGAGGGTTTCTGTAGGGTGTCAATTCAATCAACTGTATACCAACACCCTAAAACTGACACCATGTCATGGCTGGTGTTGATACAATATAACAGTTGTCAGTATAGTGTTGGCCAACAGTATACCAACACCCTACCAACACTGTGTTGATACAATATAACAGTTGTCAG